TAAAGTCATGTATAAATCGAGGAGGACATCAGACTAAACATCAGATAAACTATACAACCAGAAACTATGGTTAAAAGGTTACTTTCTTAACAGAACTTACCTTTGGTTCCTCCCAGACAAAGTGTAATAAGTGATTTCGAAAAAAATGTATCTTAAATTACAGATCTGTGTGAAATGCAATGGACAGCAGGAGGAATCTAATCAAACTAGTGAAAACTTTCGACCGGAAAAATTGCACATTGAAAGTTAGTCCGCCTCCTTGGGGAAAACTTTTCGCAGAGTCGCTCTCTCTATACACTTTTGGGGCTGGGCAGCCGTCTCTTCTCTGGGGAGAATAATTTACAAACTGGAAATCCAAAACTTAAACAAAAACGCAGACGTTAATGAAATTTCGATAAACTTTTGCCAGCCACTCGACTGCAACAATGAAATGAGAGAGGGATTATGTCCAAGGAAATGGAAAACATGAAGCCAAATGAAATTTTAGCAGACAAATCAAAACAAATTGTGATTTATTGAATTTTAATTTAGTGCCAGTGCAGAAAATTTGCAATAAATATTTGAGGACGCCCAGAGCCTAGCCGAACCGAATCTGAATCAGAATCAGAAGTTATGCTCATTTCATAATTTGGGTGGAGTGTGTTGGGCTGTTTGCAACCCCCAGGGCGTCCGGGCAGTCGACTGGAAGTACAGTTGCCGTTCAGCTTTTTAGCTCTGCGCGTGCCTGCCTCACGCACAATCAGGGACGGGATGATGCGAAGCAGCGGGAGCAGTATAGAAGCAGCTGCCAGACTGAGAGACGCGGATGAGATGTGGTCCTGGTGTGGGTTTGCAAAATGTGCGTGTACGGATTGGTGCATGCAAATTGCTGGCCACATGTCATTTCTGACCATTTCCGCCCGAGGGACCGCGTTAGCTAAGCCAAAAAAACAACAACAATTACAAAAGCAAGGGTTGCTTGCGAGGGTTGCTTTTCCAATGCGAATTTTTTACAATTTGTTTTTACCTACTGACCTTGAAAAAGGAATTTCATTTCAAACATGCAAATTCAGTGCCTCAGAGCAGCTGAAGAACCAACGCACAAAGCACCCCAAGGGGTGGATCAGGATCAGGTTGCCCGTGTCCCCCTACCTCTGTTCAAACCTTGGTGAAATTGTGCAAAATTTTATTATTTCAAAACGAGGAAAAACAAAACAGACAGAGAAAGAGAGAGATTCGCTTGCTTATCGCCGAGTCGAGTCGCTTATCTCGCCACATGGAGCAGATCCATTAGTCAATCATCTGTCTTTTGATATGTGAACCTCTTACCTATTATCCATTCGATTGCCTGGCTAATCGAGCAATCCCCGAGGAAATTTGCCTCCTATGATTGCACAAATTGCTCGGGGAGCTATCGATTTCACGGGAAATCTTCCCTCAAGTCTATTCCTCGTTATGCCAATCGCTTTATTAGGTACAATCTGCTGTTGTTCGGATCAGCTATATTTGGTTGGATGCGAACCGCAAGGGAAGGATGGTGACAGGGATAGGGTTCTCGTATTAAATAGATATATAATGAAGAATAAATAGAGAATTGCCGACTACATTAGCTTTTATCAATAAAGTATTATTTCCAGTATTTCCTTCATTCTCTTTTTCTTTTCCTGAACTTTCGCCTAAACTTATTTTCCGCTAAAGATGTGTTTGCAATAATTTTAAATATTTTCATTATTTCCAAATATTTGCTAATGAAAAATTTCTATTAATAATGCTTTATGCTTGCCACTGGAAACGTGGCCCAAAACAATGCCTGGAGAAGACTTTTAATTAAAATTTCACATACTAAAGTAGTAGTCGACGGGGGAGAGGTGAGAGAACACTGCGAGTGCGAGTATGGGGAAGAGACGGCAAGGATTATTTATGGGGAGCCGGAAGCTGTCGGCGCAGCTGCCTTTCAGTGGCTGCAAATGGCATTGCAATAAAACGAAAAATAAGTTTTGCGTACATATTATGTGTGTCCCGCATGTCCAGGGCACACTCAAACACATCCCGCACGCAGATGGTCTTCATATTCATATCCATACTCATATTTGTCTGGCAGCCAAATCCTTTGACAACATCTGGCCTCCGAAAATAGTTTGCAGCCTCTGTTGAGTTCTCCAAACTCAACCCTTTTGTAATTGCTCGACGCGATATTAAAATGCATAAATTAATAGCCAATTTTGGGGGTAGAGACACCTTTTTATGGCCTCGACATGCACCATGTGGGGATTGTTCCCAAAACGGTCTGCCAGCCACGTAATTTGTGATGGCTTATGGCATAAACAATTACATTTAGAGAAAGTAAGATCCTGGCCAAATGCACCACAAATGACCGCAATTATGGAACCCTCCTTATAAGTCGACGGTCCGCCAGTATCTAGCCGCAAATCAGGGCAATTAATATTAAGTGGATTATTATTTAATGACCATCGCACGCACTCGGAGACAATGCCCCGCCCTGGAGCACCACCAGAACCCACCATCCAGCTCAATCTCATTCGGTCCTAACTGTTATGATCCCAAATGGAGTTTTAGTTCCTCTTATGGCTGTCATATTCTAATTACATCAGAGCACGCAGTTATTACACGGATTTGCGTTGCGATTTGATACCTCCTGACCTCGGCCCACCACCTCCAGTAGTTATTGCGGGAACGGACGGCATTAAATTGGCAAATTGACGTTCATTTCACGTGCTAGTGGACCATATCGAGATGTGATATGGCAGACAGAGTCCTCATTGAATGGGCGTCGCTAATTGATAAATTGCTCTGATGCGTGGCTCGACTCCATCGGGCAAATGGAATGAGCTCCAATATGTACAGACTATACTATATGTTCATATGTTGCTGAAAGTACGAGTATTTTCACAGCTGCAGAGTCAGGAGATAAGGAAATTGCGATGCAGATTCAGGCACGTCGAACCTGGAGAACTCTGACAGCAGACTTACGTAACTTGGAGACTCTATATCATCAACATCATCATCTGCGTAGTCGTCATCAGAAGCTGGTCCCTCTCCGGCTGAGTCAGCACTCCGGCAATATGGCGGTCCGGCCCCTGCACTAGACCGCAACCGAGCTGGCCAAGCCGTGTGCAGCAAACGATGATAAGCTGAAATAAAGGGTGTTCTTCTCAATACATGACGTGGAATCCCGCAAACAATCAAATGAAACGCGTCACCAACCTATCTGTTACTGATAAGATAGTCAGTTTCTTTAAGCTTCTTTGATTCTCCGAGAGATTAATTTCTTATCTAAATGATTTTCCCCTTTCTGTTATCGATCAAAGTTGTCATACACTCGAACTTCATGGGGAGTGATCTAATATAAAATGTATCATACAAGATCCTCAATATGTTGTTTTACCTTTTGTGGAAAGCCGTCAATATAACAGTTCTTTGATAACACTACTCGACAAAACCGAACTTTTTTTTTCCTCAAGGATCCAAACCGACTTTTTCTGATAGATATGGGGCTTTAAAATTTTTTAAAGAATTATGGTTTTTTTTCTATGGCAGAACTTTTTTTTTGAAGAATTTTTGAAGTCTGGTATTTTTTTTTTAAGCTTTTTTCAGAGGTAGCGATAGTTTTTTTCACATAACTTTAATATCTTACGTCTGGTTGTACAGAACTTTGCTATTTTGAAAAGGTAATTAAAACAGCTAAAAGTTGAGCTCAAATACTTTGTGATTTCAGCTTACCGTCTGGGAAATATAAAGCATTGAAATGCAAAAATGATGATTTTTGTGGGGTATTTTTAACGAAATTTTGACTTTAAAAACTCAGGAAAAACTTTGTTCCCAATTGGCAGTTGAGCTCGCAACCTTCGAAAAGGTATTTTTTGTTCATTTTTTCCATATTTTAGGTTTGGTTAACGAATTTTAGCTCCAAAGTCTCTCCATAGATTTTAATGAGCGATACCTTAAACGACGCCAAATTAACGCACCTATACACAAAAAAATAGAGGACACATGATATAATTTTTTTTCGACTTTTCCTGAGTTTTTAAAGTCAAAATTTCGTAAAAAATACCTCACAAAAATCATCATTTTTGCATTTCAATGCCTTATATTTCCCAGACGGTAAGCTGTAATTACAAAGTGCTTAGGCTTTACTTCTAGCTGTTTTAATTACCTTTTCAAAATAGCAAAGTTCTTTACAACTAGACGTAAGATACTAGAGTTATGTGAAAAAAACAAGCGCTTCCTCTGAGAAAATCTTTTAAAAAAAATACCAGACTTCAAAAATTCTTTAAAAAAAAGTTCTGCCATAGAAAAAAAAAAAAATATCATCAAACCATTTCTAAGCCCCAAATCTTTAAGAAAAAGTTCGTTTTGTTCCTTGAGGAAAAATCGTGTTGACTAGTGTAAGTACTTCATGAAAATACTATTGTAGAGGGTTTATGCGGTTCATTCATTCTTCTTCTGTAGCTCACTGTTATCCATCTATCATCATGTGTGTGTATATATCAAATTTTCTACTGAGCGTTGCCCTTTGCATAGTATTTATCAATTATATGATCCATTGAATTATTTAATGCATTGTTCGCCGATCTTTATGAGTACAAAAACCACAGTGGTTCCTCCATTGTTCGGGGTACACACAAAGACGTATCCAAAGTACAACCCCAGCTGTGTTGCTATCAGCATTCGAAGGAAAACAAATCCCCAAGTGCGGCAGTTGTCAGAGCGGAGATCCAGGATCCGACCGCCCCATAATAGACCAGAGCCAACTTTATCAGCATCCACAATGCTGACTTAGCGACCGAATAATCTGTTTTTCAAGTTGATATTGTATTTTGTATTATATATTTGTTCACTCGGTAATATATATGCTAAAGATAAATTTGGGCGAACTTTGCTAACATATTTATGATAACATTATCACAATCGTGGTGTGAGTTTGAATGGAGGAAAACCAAGGCGAACCGCGGGCCCTGGACGAGGGCGGAGTAAATAATTATAATGGGTACTTCTGATAATGCTGTTGTTTCTGCTGCTGCTGTGCACTGCGATTTATTGTGGATAGAACGGGGGAAACAAATCAATTTGAAGGTGATCGAAAGGCATCGCAGTGTAGAATTTAGTAGGGAAGATGAGTGTAGATTGTGTGGAGCAGGAACGCCTCTTACTGCTTCTGCAGATACTCGTCGAACAGATAGACGGACAGGGATGGGTCCGGCACCTTCATCAGCTTGGCGAGATCATTGGCGTAGCCAGAGAGCTTGCGCACGGACTCTGCCTGCTTTCCCAGGTACTCCTCCTCCATGTAGTGGGCCATCTCGGGATCGCGCTCGGTGGCATGGATGGCACGGGTGTGGATGTGGGTGGCTCCCGTGGCCAGCTGCTTCTCGTTATCAAGGGCCAGGGCCAGTGAGTGCAGCTCGTCGACCTCCAGTGTGGGACGCTGGGTGCTGACGGAGGCGGCCGACTCGTGGCGGGTGTTGAAGTCCACGATGCCGCCGCGCTTGGTGATCTGCTTGATCAGAGCAATGCTGTCGTCGAAGGAACGGTCCGAGAGTCCCTGGTAGAGCTTCTGGAAGCCGGGCCGGTTCTTCTGGTACGAGTTGAAGTGGGTGGCCAGGAGCAGGTACTCGTAGGACTTGGTCAACTGGGAGTTAATGTAGGCCTGGACCTCGGGCTCGATGTGCTCGATGCCAGCGAAGCGGGCATTGCAAATGGAGTTGGCTGCGTCGGAAGAGGGGAATGGAAGTAAAAAGTTAAATTAGGATTTGCCGCATTTCGGAAGTATCAGGAGGGTTAGGGGGAGGGTTGTAAGGTTAAGCTTACTTTCGCCTGTGAAAAAGCCCGTGAGCGCTTGTTTATTTGCATAAATTCAAAGGCAAGAGAAACAACACACAATCACATAAGTTAGGTTCTCTTCACGTATACTATCTCTTTCACGTGCTCTTTTGTTACTCACCAGAGAAGGTCGACGAAGAGCAGGCGGTAGCTACGCTGTTGTGGCAATACTCTTCCTCTGCCTGGGCCAGAGCGCCGAGGCTGGCAATCAAAGCGAATGCAACGAGCAGTTTCATATTTGTTCAATTACTAAAAGCAGAGAATTGATAGGGCTTTAGGGATTAGTTTCACAATATCACAACAGATTCCAAATCTAAATCGGATACAAAAGTCCCAGGCGACTGTGTGTGTTCGCTCTAGATTCTGTTTTTGCGTCGTAATTTCTTGAATTTTCCATGCACCTCTCTCTCGCTCTTTTACAACGAAACCACCACCACACTATCACAAGCCATAACTGTTCCGCTTCGAATTTCGGATTTTACAGCAAGTTAAAGTTGCGGCTCTCCACAGAACCTCGGAGCTCACACTAACTAAACTAATTGACTAAACTCACTTTAGATTGTCGCAATGAATTCAAATTCAATTTTCAGCTGCTTTGTGGGTTCTTTATGTGCTGCTTGGTGGAACTCGAAACGGGAACTGCTGTTTATAGCGTCGCGTTTGCCTCGTTTCTATGCGGTCGATACTGCTGCAGAGAGCGTGCGCCAGTGTGTGTGCGTGAGTGTCTGTATGGGTATTTGTTGTTTTGCACTCGCCGTTGTTCAAGTCGCCTCTCTTCACGATGTCAGTCAATATGGCCGCTCTGCTGTTGTTGCTGTTGTTTTTCACATGTGACTCACAAGCGGGAGCAATAGTCAGGGTTGTCAAACTTTGTTGTTTCTAGTGGAATAGATTCGGGACAGATTTGTATATCTTTAAGCAAATGATCGAATAAAGCTGAAAGATCTCCACGTAATGCGAAGAAACCAAGAACTTATGTAACACAAATGTGTATTATTATCTGTGGCAAATGCTTAGATTGGCAGCTGACACTTGTTGCCGCGTTGCCATAGCTGATATGGATCGAGAGTATTGATTGATCCCGCTACAAGACGCAAGAATTAAATTGTCAGTCAGTGTCGATATGCGGAAAATCCATGCGCCTGGCAACCCATGACGTGTTCCACTGCACTCTCTCGCACACAACCAAAACAAAAACAAAGAACAGCTGACGCTGAGTCAAGAGCGGCCATATTGCATTTGTCTGGATAGGAAATTCGCGCATTGAGAACGTGTGTATTAAATTAAGTACTTGTATTATCTAGAATATTCAATTATCAGTGTGTTACAAACAGCGGCCGCAAAAAAGCAGCGACGACATGTTGAATAGATAAGGTGCACACTCTTTCACACACATACACACGCACACTGCGAACGAGAAAGAGAGTCGGCCGGAGCGCTTAAAAGTGTTTTGTGCACCACAGGCACGCCACAGTTCGCATTCAGCATTCACGTTCCGAATAACCAAAGCAAGCATATTACCGCAACAAAATCGTCGCCGAGCAGATTACTCTGTCACGTCAAAAGAAGGTACTGGAAAGTAAAGCCCCATTTAGTCGAAAACCGAGCAGGCGTCGCCTTCTATGCCAGTGTGTGTAAAGGCACTTTGACGGACAGCAGCCGGACCCCAAATAATCAGTTTCAGATTTCGATAAAGTCTAGTACGGGTGCGCCTATTTAACATTGGCAACCTCTTCGAGACGCTTCATTCTCATTCTCGTGCATCTACCACATACAACGTTTACTCAACGTGACAATTTGTTCTGTGATTTCGTGTTAAGACTTTCCTGAACCCAATACCGAAGAACAAAGATGGTGAAATTAATTGCGAGCCTTCTGGTGCTGGCCGTGGTGGCCCAACAGGCGTACGGAGACTTTAAATGTGAGTATTCTGTGTTTGTTTAAACAAAAGCAAAGGGAAACGGTGGAAAAACAATAAAATTCGACGCAATAACACCAAAAGGCCTCGCAAAGAGAGCGAGAGTCAGGTCACCGAAGAGCGGGAGAGCATGCGCGTTAAGAGAGTCGCTCTTTTGTATTTTTGTGCTCACTCTTGCGCCCATTAAAACAAGAAATTTCACAAGTTTATCATTTGTTATTAAAATTTATTCTGTTAAATGCTTCCGATTCCCCTTTTGGAGAAATGGAAACCAGTTTATGGATTTCATCATTATTTTAAAATCAATTTCCATATTACGCGAATTTCGCTTTCGTTTCGTCGAGTAACGGGTCAAGCCCAGCTGTATTTTGCACACGGCGCTTGTCGTCAGCTTAGAGCTTTGCGAGGGAGATATACTTTTGCACACGGCTCCACACCAAAACAAATGCCGTTGCTATGGCGGCGAGTGTTGCGCACGTTACCAAGCTGTAGAAACGCCAAAGAGAGGGTATTGCCTCGGAGAGCGCGAGACCAGACAACTGCAGTTTGCACACGTTCTATATAGGTTTATGCAATACCACTACTACCCCCCCCTCCCCACAGCTTTAAACAAGAAAGAAAGCAAAAGTGTCGTGACAGAGCTAAAGAGCGAAGGAATGAAGCAAAAGCTAATTCATGACCAAGGTCAAGATCAAATTGAGAACGATCAGTGCAGTGCCCAGTGCAAAGGTCTTCAGTGAATTATGCATAAGAAACGTTAGCCGATGACAATACCTGATGTAATTATTCTTTTGACAGGCTCCCTGGAGGTTCCCGAAATCCCCAAGGGCTGGATGGACTTGAAGGACGGCTGCCTCAACGGCATGCGCCACCAGATCCAGGAAGAGATCAACGCCTCCTACCAGTACCTGGCCATGGGTGCCTACTTCGCCCGCGACACCGTCAACCGCCCCGGCTTCGCTGAGGCCTTCTTCAAGGCCGCAAAGGAGGAGCGCGAGCATGGCTCCAAACTGGTTGAGTACCTGTCCATGCGTGGCCAGCTCACCGACAACGTCAGCAACCTCATCACCGTACCGGTTAGTATCAAATAAAGGGGTATCTAAGGGATGGTTCTGAAACTTGTGTATCCCATTCCTTATCTAGACCGTGGCCAATCAGGAGTGGAAGGATGGTGCCGCCGCCCTTGAGGATGCCCTCGAGCTGGAGACCAAGGTCACCCGCTCCATCCGCAAGTTGATCCAGACCTGCGAGGGCAAACCTTACAACCACTACCACTTGGTAGACTATCTCACCGGCGTGTACCTGGAGGAGCAGCTCCACGGACAGCGCGAGCTGGCCGGCAAGTTGACCACCCTCAAGAAGATGATGTCCACCCACGGCGAGCTCGGAGAGTTCCTCTTCGATAAGAACTTGTAAAATGGTTCACCGTTTCCGTTCTGGATAACCCACACCGCCGCCACCATGGAGGAGGTGTCCAGTCCCTCTTCAAACTTATCAGCCAGAAAATCAACTCCATCTAGTGTTCCGTTATCTATTTCGTTATCACCCGAGCTGAAACCCTTTCCCGAGTGTCCACCATTAAATCAAAAATTAAAGCTTCAGTTTTCATTCTCTTTGATTGGCACTTAATTCTCCCAATAAATTACCCGTTTCCTTCTGGCTCGCCTCCGATTCACGGGGCACAGCAAAAATCTACGAGTTCTGTTCTTATCATGCCGCTCCGCGAGCTATCTCATTCAAGTGCGGAAAGTATTATCGGTTCTATGAGTCGTAATTTACGCTATCGCATCCAGGGAAGGGTCTAAAGCTCTTGTTGGGAGTTCGACATTATGCAATCGCAGAGATTTCGCCTAGATATATGTGACACGAGCAGGGAGGGATCATTTTATATAAGCCATCATGCACAACTCATACGATACATTAAATATATATCTCTATATTTTTCTGTCAATTAGACCAGCAAGTTATAAATAAATAAACACACAAAATTTGAAGTTTCTTTTTAATTATCGTTACATGGGATATAAATTAATGGTCGACATGACCTTACGCAAGAAGAAAGCAAGAAAACAAACGTAATAGTTTCATAGCTTGGGCAAAGTGGGCCAGATCGGCGAGGGAAATTCTTTGCTTGGATCAGCATTCGAATCGAAAACGAAATTTTCGCATCAGCCAGCCGTCTTTGACAGTTGCATAGCTGTATTGAAAAGAAATTCCATGGTTTTTACTAATTTTGCTCATAATTTAAAAACGAGAGATTACTCTTTAAAAAAGTTGGCAAAGTAGATCGCATCACCCACAGATACTTGTGGACACAATTCCACCAGCTAGGTCCTTCCTAAAAATTAAGCTCTCTATGAAAATATTAGACGATTAACCCGTTTGTGTCCCCGCACTTGATGAGCCGTGTCTGGGATCACGTCCCGCCTGTCCATCAGGGGCTGGACAATGTCTAATGGCCTGCTGGCATCGCATATTCCGTTTGATAAACGTCTTCGTTCCCCATGCCCAATATTGACCCTTTCATGTACTTATCCATCCCCATAGCCCATCTGGCTTAATCTGATTTGAAAACACAAAAAGCTAACCATAAAGAGCCAAGTGAGTCGAGCGAGACGTAGCCTGGGATAGAGATGGAGATGGACAGGGACAAGTACAAGGAATAATTCATAAGTCACTTGTAAAAATGTCGTTTCTGGCCTCAGTCCACCCCAGTCCTGTTTCTCTCCAGCACTGCCCTGTGGCGAGGGGCTGCGAGCGGGGCTAATGTGTGTTCGACTTCACCCTTTCGATATCGCTGTCGATTCTGTCGATTCTGATTGACAGGACATGGCATACATTGAATTATGATAAATTGTGGCAACTGTCAAAAGGCGGTGATGATGGTTGTTCCCTGTGTGTCCTATTCCTGGAGGCGGAATGACTAGCAGGCGAGCGTGAGCATAGTGGACGGTTTGCTGGGTCGCATTTTAAACAATTTCATAAGCTAATATTTGAACAGATGTCCTGACCCGAATCGGGTTTAGAATTGCATCAATCCGACAATGGGCCGCAAATTTTTTGATAAGCGGCGCAAATATTAGGCGCAATTCGTTTGATTCGCCAGAACTGCGGAAAGAGGGGGTAAGGAAAGATTCTGTCTGGAATACAAATGGACCGTGACCACTGGGTCACTATCAATCTTGGCTAGCGCAAAAAAAAACTTTTGTACATGGCTCTGGACCGACTGGCGGATGATTTTTATTGCATTTTTTCGTATGTTTTCATGAGGCATAAGGATGGAGGGTGAATCAACCAATTTTGTTCTGAAATATTCCGGTCAGAGACGTGCAAGTGATTTATCCTGAATCAGAATATCATTCCGATAAAAATGCCTGCACGCTTATCTCGCTGACATTTGTTCTCTGCTACTTAGTTGACAAATTTGAAACGGCCGACAGGCCATCGCCAGGACAATCGCCATGAGATGTGGCATGGAAATGGAAAATGGAAAAAAAATGCAGTCGGAATGCCCTTTCCCAATTCTCTGTCTGAAGTCTGTCTGTGTTACGAATCCGAACCACAGCGAACGACACCGAACCGGTTCTGCCTTGAAGTGGTAGTCGCGAGATATGATTTATGTCCGGGGAGTTCCTTTGTCTCGCACTCAACCGCTCTGCTCTGCACTTTCTCTGCTTTTTCCTGTCTCCTGTTTACCGTTCTCACCATAAATCTATGGCCAACCATTGAGGAATGACAGGCGTAGCTCCGTGCTAACCCTGGCGAACCGGTTGGAAGACAAGGAGAGAGCCGCGAAAGAGTCAAGAGGAATTAAGTACACCCGATCGAACTAAGAAAATTTTCTCCTGAAACAAATTAAATTTTTAGTCGAATGCACATGTATACATTGTACATATACATATGTACATACATACATATACATACATATGTACATACATATGTATGTATGTATAATATCGCCAAATTTTCTATAAACCAATCTTTTTCCATAATATTTCTATGGGCATAAGTTAAAGGAATCTTTCCAATCCTTTTATCGTTTTTTTTTTATAAGGATATCTATCTACTCTAGTTTAAGCGCCTTTGTTGTATGAAAAGAAAGTTGAAATATCCTTGAAGAGATATATTCCTAAGAATAGTTTACTCCTTCCTTTTCTCCTTACAATTTAATAAGTATTGTATTCCATTGTAAGTGCTCCGATCTTTCGCCAGACACATTCGCTATTCTCCACTCTCGCTCTCAATGAAGTCGTCTTCCAAGTAAGGATGCAACATGCTAATAATTAAAATTCAACAAACATCGACCAGGAAAAAAAAGGACTAGGGATTGGTATTGTCGCCCTGGAATTCCAGGCTCCCCACCCCAGCTCCAGCTCAAAGCGTTATTGAAATGTCTTAGCAGCTGTCCAAACAAGCCCCGCCCGTCCTCCAGTCCACAAAAGTCCATGTTAAGCCACGTGGAGAGGAGGAGAAGCGCGCCAGGGATTCTGCTGATTTAGCATATTGACTCCTTGGCTGGTTTCCTGGAGCCCTGCCTGGTTCCCTGGCTAGCAAGGAGCAAACTTATACAAGATTTATGTGGTCGACGCACGCCAGGCGACAGTCGAGATAAAAAGGATTCGTATAACTCACGCCCAGCCAGGACATCGAGGCGGTGGCTGGGGCAAGGCAAGAATTGGAGCGGGTAGTGCAATAAATTGGATTTGCATATTAGCACACTACCAGTGGACCACTGAGAGGGGGAGGCAATGCGCAGAAGATGTCTACACCCTTGGCCCCTCGAGGAATTCCGGGCTAGTACGGGGTGACTACTGACCTCGCATTTTGGCCGGGGGTGGCCATTAGGTAGAGGATCTTAAGTACGAAATCTTGCTTAAATGAGAAATAAATCATTAAAAATATGACCGTGTGTGGGAAAAGACATGCTTTGAGCCCTGAGCTGTTTGCCGAAAGGGTTTGCAACAATTTCTAGAATCTTTGGCATTTACATGTGGGGACGGATATACGATGGGGGTGAATGTAATTCCCTTTGATTTATAAAGATAACGACGCTGTCTTGGTCAATTTGCAGGGGATTAAACAGCCTCCCCATTCGTTGGTATTTCCATAAATCCCGGGTGTAGAATCAAGTCCGAGTGGTCACGCAAATATGACTTATGTGGCATGCAGCAAACTTTTCTAATTATGCATACTCAGACATATTACTTTCGATACAGTTCTTTGTCTTTCTTATGTTTTATCTGGGGGCTTGGGAGGTGGGTGACATTTTTTAAGTGACCGTTTTCATTGACACAAGAAAGCAGCAAAAGTTTGTGCCACAAACTTTGCCTGTACATGGGACGAAGATAAGGCTAAAGTCCTGTCCTGTCCGGGGCAGCACTTTTGCTTTCCTCTGTTGAGTTTATTGTCGGGTCGTCCTCCTTTCCCTCTCCTTTCGTACAGTTCAATGGCCACAAGTATCAACTATGAATTTCCCAAGAGGGTCATTTCGTGGCGAACTTAGGGACCCAGCATTGGAGCCGCGCGATGCTCAGGTTCCGCTCCAGGTTAAGGTCTAGGATCACGCCCCGCACTGTAAAAAGCCAGTCGGCAGGCAAGTCAAATAAAAAGCTGATTTGCATGCTCCTTTGCAGCCTGGACAGGGGCATTAAAACTAAAGAGCAGTGTCAGCATCGAGAGCAGGACAATGAGGAGGAAGTATATCCTCAACGTGTCAGGTTAAATAGAATTCATTTTTGCCCCTCTGATGGATGGGGCACATGGATGGGGTGTTGTCTGTCTGCCTGTCGCACAGCTATGCCGCAGACATGGCTTGCTTTTGATTTAAGCGCATTGTTTGCGTTAAATATTTGCTATGCCGGCCACGCAGACAACTGCAGACAAGCCACGTTCCGAGCTGAAGCTAGAGCCGTAGCCAGGACACAGCTGCGGCCAAGAGCTGCAAAGGCAAGTGGAACTCGACTCCCACTCTGCCACACAGCTGGCAGCGTGACACGAGGGCTTCTTTTGGCAGTTGGGAATTGTGGTAAGTACTAAGAGTATATGTATGAATATATACAAATGAATATCTACATTAACAGATCAGACATGCAGCTCGAAACAGGGCAGCCTTTTCAAAAAATTAGATGGAAAATCTGTAAGGACCCAGTTAAATAGTCCGTGGGTTGTTTTTCTTTCTTCGTGAGACGTCCATTTAGAACGAGCTCATCTCTCTCGACTCCCGGGTAAGAAGCGAGCAATCCTCGCTTCTTGTTTGATTTCCGCTCGTTGACTTGCTGGGCACACAATCTTTGACATCCTTGTTTCTTTGGCGCCTTCCGCCTTTCTCTCCTGCGGCCAAACAGCTTAAACTTCACACGCAGACACGTCTGCAGTCAAGTGGGACCAGAGGATGGGGCTATGGGTGGGTGTCAAGGAGGAGTTTGCATGAAGTGCATTAGTTGCAATTGAATTTGTGCATTGTGCAGTCGCCGTGGCTGCGTTGGTCCTTTCTATTGCAATTTTGTTGGGAAATTGGTTTCCATATTGTTCGCTGTGCCCGTGGTGGAGAACAGCTGTGGTTTCCAACACCCAATCTTTCTAGGAGGGGTACAAGTTAATTAGAAATCTAGTCAGGTGCTTGGGAGCTGCTTGAGAGACGCTAATTGAACGGACGCAGCTGGCTGCTCTGGCTGGACTTGAGACGCGATTA